TAAAACCACCGGAAACAAAAAAAATAACCCTTGGTAAAAATCTAAATTTTTGTAATGATTAAACGATATTGTGCCTAAAGCGTTTAAGAGAGTTAGAGTTAAACGCTTCATGCTTATCATACTTGAAAAATGTATTCAGCTTAACTTTCGAAAACAAAATAGGTCAAGACGATGTCCTTGACAAAACAAACTAAAAGACACAATATTAAAATATAAAAGAAAGCTTGAAACAAGCTAAACGTTATTTGTCTAAGAAGAGACAAATACAAAAGAAGCGTTTACTTGGCTAAACAATTTATGAGTTTAAACAATAGTTTTTCCAAATGATAAAGTTTATACAACACTTGGTATCTTTAGAAAAAGAACTTATTGTTAAAAGCTACCTAACAGTAAGAAATAAAAAAAAACACTTTGTTGTTCTGACCAAGCATTAAATGACATTAAATACTTAACATTCAAAAATAACAAAAGTTATAAGAAAAGACCTATCTACTGCATGAACAATTTACTCTATTATTTGCATATAAGCTATTCTACACACATGAATATGAAGGCTAAAAGCTCAAGTCTAGTGAACATACCATGAAGCCTTTAAATAGAAGAGCTTTTAGAAGAAAAATCAAGAGGATAAGAGAATAGTCAAGTGAAAAATCTTACAACAAAATATCCNTCGAAAACAAAATAGGTCAAGACGATGTCCTTGACAAAACAAACTAAAAGACACAATATTAAAATATAAAAGAAAGCTTGAAACAAGCTAAACGTTATTTGTCTAAGAAGAGACAAATACAAAAGAAGCGTTTACTTGGCTAAACAATTTATGAGTTTAAACAATAGTTTTTCCAAATGATAAAGTTTATACAACACTTGGTATCTTTAGAAAAAGAACTTATTGTTAAAAGCTACCTAACAGTAAGAAATAAAAAAAAACACTTTGTTGTTCTGACCAAGCATTAAATGACATTAAATACTTAACATTCAAAAATAACAAAAGTTATAAGAAAAGACCTATCTACTGCATGAACAATTTACTCTATTATTTGCATATAAGCTATTCTACACACATGAATATGAAGGCTAAAAGCTCAAGTCTAGTGAACATACCATGAAGCCTTTAAATAGAAGAGCTTTTAGAAGAAAAATCAAGAGGATAAGAGAATAGTCAAGTGAAAAATCTTACAACAAAATATCCATCCTAGAAGCATTCAAAAGAGAAGAGAAGAAAAAACTCAAGAAAAATAATATATTTGAGCTGTAAAAGAGAAGAAGAGAAGAGCAAAAAGAAAAAGAAATATTCTCTAGCTTTATTGTCATATTGCTTACTATTGTAAGAGAAAATAGAGAAACATCTGCAAATGTTTAAACTGTTTTGTATTGTATTTACATCCTATCTGTGAGACCAATAGTCTGAACAACTTGTAAGCAATCATTGATTGTAATTATGAAGAGAATTAAAACGCTTATAACTGACCTGAGTTTGAGTTGAGAAATCTAATCGCGATAGTCTAGTACCATGAGTGGTGCGAATACTTAGAGGAAATCTTGGCAAGGTTTGCTAAGTACTAGGAGTGGTGTTAATACTTAGACCAGGAGTGGTGAGAATACTCAGTTGTAATCGTGTGAAGATTATAGTGGAACACTTTGCAGAGGATACTGGAGAAGCTCAATTGGAGTTAACCAATATAAAAATATTTGTACAATTATCTCTTCTCTCAACTAAACGATTCTCTTATAAAAACATGCAGTTGTGTTTATTTCCAAATACAAAATCTTTCATGCTAAACAATTACTTTTCTTAAAGGCTTAATAGCTTACTTTGTCCCCATGTTAAGAGCTGAATTTCCGTTTAGTACTCGATTTTAAAAATGAAGACATTCGATCCCCATTTTACGAAAATTGTGTATCTTAAGTCATCATGGTTTAATGACATTAAAATTGAAAACGTTGATCTGAGTGTGGATGTGAGGTGTGCAAGAAATGTGGTCGTGGCAATGAGTTGGGGTACGTTAGTTGACGTGGTAGGAAAATGAAAAAATTACATGTTATGAAAAAATTACATTAGGGAGCTTGCAGTCGCTGTCCTACACACCACGACCACCATCCACAATCGCCAACGTTGCTACCGCAAAGCTCACCATCGTCGGAACACCACGAGTTCATCTCGCCACCACACATCGCTGCCATCAACTCACCGCAGAGAATCACCCAGAGCAAAATCCACAACCTCCATCATTAAATCGCGAAAGCAACCCTCAAATCGCCTCGAGTTCAGAGTGCGAGCCTCCTCCTGTGTGAGCCATCATCTTCTCCGCCATAAAACCAGCACAATAGCGCCACCAACAACTACAACTACCCCTCCGCGATGCCAATCTCTTCCACCACATAACGCAATAGCGACTTCTTCATCCAAATTTCGCTCAGAAACCTGCAACTAGATAAATCAATTCGCACAAATCTGAGCTGCATTCAGAATCCCTAAGGCAAATCGCGATGGTGAACCCTAGATTGAAGGTTTATTCAGTGTAATTTCTAGGCTTGAGGATTTGGGATGTTTTAATCGGTGCAAAACCCTAAATGAAGCAGAGACCATAAGATGGACCAATTAAACGGTGGGAAGGAGAGATTGATCGGAGGAAAACCTTTTAAACGGAGCAAAGGAAGATTTAAATGGTGGAAGTGGCTAGAATCCGATTTCAATTGGTGAAATGGAATGTAAATGAGATTCTAATCGGGCAGAGATGAAGGAAAGAAGATCTAAGGGAAGAATGAGGTGCAAAGTCGAAATCAATCGGTGGATTGATGACAAACCTGATGGAAGAGACTGTCCTTGGCTTGGATTTGCGATAAAGTCGAGATTTGGTGACGACGGGAAGAGAAGCATGTGAAAGCTGAAAGGAAGACGGAGGAGTTGAAGAAGCGACAGAGTCACACTACCGTAGAGGATGAGCACAAGACAATGGAGAGTAGGATTAAACTGGACCGTGTTCGTGAATACAGATGAATGAAGATTGAAGAATGGTTTCTGTGTGTAGGTTCTTGGGTTTTTTGTGTATGGGTTTCTGGGTTCTCTATGTGTAGGTGGAAAAGATGAACTCTATTGGTAGGAAGAACATATGAGAGAGAGAAAAAGTGCTGGCAAGAAGAGTAGAGGAGAGAGAAAAAAATGTAGCCACGTAAGCACAAAGTTAACGCCTTTATTATCAACTTAACGGATAAGACTTTATTTATACAATTTTTACAATTTTAGGACTCAATGTCTTCATTTTTAAATGTGGATACTAAACGGAAATTCATCTCTTAACTTGGAGACAAAATAAGCTATTAAGTCTTTCTTAAAAGAAAGTTCTTATAAAACGCTGCCGTATATATTCTGAATTATATATTCTGGATTGCATGATAAAACATATTTTCATTTATTAATATTTATCAAGTCGAGTGTTTAAACTTTCAAAAGATAATCTTTAAAGTTCGATAATGTACTATCTTAGAAGGGTTGCGAAAAGTTTTCTATTAACACTGTTCAATCTCTCTTTTAATGTTTTTGAGGTACTTCATAAACTCCTAGAGTAGAGAGTCAAGCTTTAATTTTCTGAGAGAGCATAGTTTTTGCTTTTGTCATTTTTTCATTTTCTGAGTTTAACAATTTTGAAAAATAATACACAAATGTGATGAGATATTATCAATTTACATTATCGACTTTATTTTGCGTAACTCGATAGTTATTGATGGTTTTAGCATAATGTTTTATGATTAGATGAAAAAGAAGTGTTTGGCTGAGATATTATCAATTTACATAAGAGCATATACAGTAGTGTTGGCTTATCCGACGATGATCAAAGTGTGCCGTAATAATTATTGTGACGAAGGAATAAAGTTCCTGCATACAGCTAAATATCCTCCTATTACTTTTTTTCTATACTTTATTTTCTCTAATTTCACAATCATTTTGTCAGGGAAATGAGGAACATATATAAATTCCACAAACAGCATCTCCCACTATTTTGGAATTCCATTTCTGCTATAGCCATTTCTCCTTGGTAAGGGAAATTTATACTTCCTAAATGAAGGGATTTACTAAATTTATTATTAAATAAAAAAATATTAGTAAAATGTCAAAAATGATAATTTATGAAACTTTACATAGTAATTAATTACTAGACACTAATAAGTCAGCCCTTTTCAATTTTGGAATTAATATTTTATTTCGAACTTGTATTTTAAATTAATTTTGCTAATTGTCATACGAAATGATCGCATAGCCGAGATTGGATCTGTCACACATAAGCTGGTGGAGACTTTATTTTATATATTCTTTTCTTGTGGAGAAAAAGGGAAGATATAGTAGGTTCTGGAAGAGGGGGTGCCCACTGAGAAAGAAAGTGTTTTCTTATGTAATCTTTTGTTTTAGAAGTTCCTTTGAGAAAAAATACAGTTTTGGGGAATGTCGCACGTTTTCTCTTTTACTTTTTGACCTTCTCTTCGAAGGCTCCTAACAACCTCTCAAAGTGATTCTACATATACAGGTTGTTGGTGTATGATACTTTGCGTCTATAACCTTTGAGTTTTCTAAGTAAAGGAGGGAAGCTCTCAGAGGGATATGAAGACTTGAAGGTGAAGTTGAGAATTTTGTGTTTTTGTGTATGTTGTGATTTATTTATTTGAATTATTCTTAAAAACGGGTAGATTGATATGTCTGTGCAATTTTGTGTTTTTAGACAGAAAAAGTTGGTGGAAGCAGAGCAGAAAGGTGAAGAACAGATATTGATATATTGTTACAGAAAAGGAGCATGATGAAATTTCTAAGGTGTGGAGGGAAGATATGTATGAATAATAATGACGTGGAAAATAACTACAAGGGAGAAGAACAACCTTCAAGGAATGTGATAGAAAGCTCAGAAGAACGACGCAGTGATGAAGCTAAAGCACATGGTTGGTGGTTGTTGCCAAAGAAAACATACGATTCGATAAAAGAGAAAAAGCCTAAATCCGATTGGAGAGAAATAGACGAAGAAACTATAAAGCAAAAGAGGCCAAGAAGAAACACGGTGCTGCATATAGCAGCTCTCTACGGAAATGATAAGTGTGTGGAAAAGGTACTTCAAATCGGTGAACACCTTTTGCTAAAAATAAATGGTAATGGTGATACACCACTGCATGTTGCTGCAAGAGCTGGCAAAATCTCTACTCTCGAGAAATTGGTGGCTGCACTTCTCCATCGAAATTCTGAAGAAGCAAAAGAGACAATCCTTGTAACCAACAAACAAGGAAATACTTTCTTCCATGAGGCCTTATTGAACGGTCACAAAAATGTTATGAACATTCTAGTTTCTTCACCAGCCTTCGAGCAATTGGCAGAGGAAACTGTTTTTGTTAGTTCAAACAATAACGACAAATCAGTTTTGGACTTAGCGATTGAGAAAGGTTACGAGGACATTGTTGATGATGTATTGACCAGAATGATTCCAACCAATGAAGGTACGCAGTTTCTTCATACCTTTAAACTTCCTCCTCCTATTATTCTTTTCTAGCTAAGTTTTAACAAAGTCAATATAACAACAAAAGTTTATAAACATATATTAAAATACGTGAGTTACTCACGGATAATAATATTTAGGAGTACCAATTGTTTATCTATAGTGGATTTTATCGGTAAATTTTCATAAACATAACTATTTTTGTTATCCTTAAGTTAGACCATGTTAAACCCTATGATAAAAGGGTATAATGGAAGAGTTTTACATAAGAATAAGTAGACCATCAATCAGAGACAATCTAGTAGCGTTACAGAGAACTTAGTACAAGCCTTTATTTGGCGCTTCTGTAAACTACCTTGTGTTTAGATGAAAATTTTCAACAATTTCAGAAAATAGAAATACATAGAATTTTTGTAATTAAATTCTTTTAATTTCTTAAATAATTTGTTTCGATAAAATAATTAAAATGTGTTCGATTTTAATTTTGTTTTTTGAATAAAACAATTTAATTTTTATTTTAAACTAAACTAAACTTTACCCTTAAGTTAATTTGACTTTCAATCCAAAATGATTGATATGAATGTATTAATTCATTCATATAAATTAAATTAATAGTTTACAATTATATTATTAAAATAATCATATATAAGTCTATACACACTATTAATTTTAAAATTTTATTTTTTAGGTACTTACAAAAAGCGCAAAAAGCGCATGGTAGATTCGGATATGCATATGGACAAAACAGAAAATCAAGGCGCCCTACCCGACCTTGCGGCAATCTTAAAAGACAGAAAAGGTAATTTTTGTTGTATAATTATAAGTTTTCTCTTTCCATAATATAATAGTAACAATTGAACCAATATCTCTCCACTATTTTTGTGCGTAGATGGAGCAATCGAATTTAAAAAAAAATGTTAAATTAAGAGGGATGATCTAGAATTATTTAATAATTTTTAATTATGTGTATACAGTTTTTTAATTAGACAACTCAACTTGTTTATTAATTGGACATTTTGTTTAACTGTTGTTATGATTGTAAACAAGTACTTTTTATTCAGAATAACGACTTCAAAAGGCCCTTATAAAATGAGAATCTTCATTGCATATCATGTTATGCTTTTTTTCTCTTTTAAATATTCAATTTTTTCAAAATTTCCGATATTTTCTTTTGGAAACTATTAGATGTGATAAACTCATAACAAGATATAATGTAATTGGTTAACTTCTTTTTCCAACCATAAATATATTTTTTCTACCATATTTATTTACTTATTTTTCAACCATATTTGTTTATTTCTCCTTATGGACATAACTGCAATGAAGATGGATATAACTGCAACATATGGATATTAATATCTTATCCTCCCGTTTTTCATATATATTTATTGTTATAGTTGTTTTCATTATTTTGACATAACATATTATTGACATACTTTTGGACTTGTGTCATAAGAATTGTAAAAGGGTAATTTTGTTTGGTCTCTGAGTATTATTATAAATAATATACACAGTCAATAAATAATATACACAGTCACTGATAATGTAAAAATCAAAGTGTCATAAATTCATAAAATGTTATGTATAAGTTTTTTTATTGTTATAATATTATTTACTTAAAGTTATGTACAGTCGAAGGGCGCATGGCACTTATGGATATAGAAATGGACACAAGAGATATAAGCACTCCAACATTCTCAAAAAATCAAGGTGCTCGATCACCAGCCATTATGGCTATCTTAAAAGAGAATAAAGGTAATTTTTGTTGTATAATTATAAGTTTTCACTTGTCCATATTAGAATAGTAAAAATTGAAGATATGAATCAATAACTCTCCACTATTTTTTGTGTAGATGAAGTAATCGAAGTTTAAAAAATGTTAAATTAAGAGGGAGGATCTAGAATTATTTAATAATTTTTAATTACGTCTATATAGTTTTTTTTTAATTAGACAACTCAACTTATATTTATTTATTAATTGTACATTTTGTTTAACTGTTGTTATGATTGTAAACATGTACTTTTGATTCGTAACACCCAAAAATAGCTTTAAGCTATACTCAGGTACATTTAAACTAAAATAGAACAGTTACAAGAATAAAATTAAACTTACAGTTATTTTGAAATAACCAAAAATTTAAAACTTTAAAGGAACCTATACTGCTACAGGTACAAGACCCAACGATCTTACACTAATAGAAATCATCCTCTCCTGCCAGCGCCACATGCCCACCAGCTTCCGTCTGGTTCGTCCTCGAACCACACCGTACTGGGAGAGGCTAGGCTCTGATACCATTTGTAACGCCCCGGCAACTCACAGGGACCATCGACTGGGAGAGTTCTTTTGAGTCAGGCTACCGAAAAGCAAATGCATTTTGGTGATATGAGTAGCCAAATCAATTCCTTTAAGTTATCCTTCAACTGTATAGTCCCATACCTACACAGTCTCCAGATCACTCTCATTCCGGTGTATGTTCGATTCGTCCATGTACCCCTTCCACTCGAAGCTGCCAGGAGCCGCTCCTTGTCTGTGCTCCTGCACCATGCCTCTTGCACCGGCGTCACTCCCCGCCCTCGTCAGTGCTCGGATGTCACACCCATCACATCTTTAAATAACTTCAAATCGAACATTAAAACAACATCACCATGGAGCATAACTGAATTGGAAAATATCAACAATTATTATAAACAAAACCTGACGGTAGAACACCTCCTATCTATGAATCTGACCGTACGGGATATGGCTTCCCTATGATGAACCTGACCGAATAGGATATTGTTTCCCTATGGTGAACATGACCGAACGGTCATGTAAAGAGTGAAACTCAAGCATGAGCTGAACACTATTAGTTTGATCTGAGTACTATTGAATTAGACCGAACACTTATTGATTAATGTCGACCACTAGTAGACCATACCAAACACTATTATTTTAGACTAATCACTATAGGCTTAGGCCGAACACTGAGGGCTTATGTCGAACGTTATAACCAGGATAAACACTTTAGTTGAACCAAATACTTATTGTCAGACTGAACATTTTCTCGTTATTCAAAGACTATAACCTAACTATATTCACTAGATAGAATCCCAAGAATTGACTGAATACTATGGAACATCTATAATTGGACATAATCAAATACTAAAGCTTATAATCAAAATCTAAGAGCTTAGACCGAATACTACGAGTTTAGACCGAACACTCTTAGTTTCAATTTCAATTACATAATTTGGTAATATGACTACACCTAGTGCTTAGTGCATCACCGAGCACTACTGAGACTGAGTGTTGGCATTTGACCGAGCACTACCAAGACAGTTCAAGATCGAGCGGTCAATAACAGTTATAGCTTATGACAGACCGAATGTCGTTTACAAACAAAAGTTATGTCTAGATCGAATGCTACAATAAATTGAAAATCACACTAAACCGAACGGTCATTATTTGAGAATCCACAATAGCATAATTCAGTTAAGATCGAACACCAGAGAGAAGCCGAACGGTCAATTAAAGACCTTCAGCAAACTACATAATTCTACAAAATAACTGTAGAATTAGGATCAATACCAAACCTTACCAATTTCACTCGACCATTGAATTAGAATCAAACAGAAACATTATCATCATAAAACGCATCATCAATATTTCATACCAACAACACCGAATATCAAATCATTGAATTTCATACACATGCATAATCATCAAACCAAGTAATTGAATTAGCTAGCTTCCCTTATCTATTAGACCGAATCGAATAGCTCTACCTCTTCAGAAATTTGCTCCTAATACCAAAAGACCTCAGGAACCTACAGTTCGCAAATTTGCGATAATAAACCAACCCAAAATACCAGAAAAGTGATTAGAAATAAGAAGAAGAAGCTGATAACACATGCAACCAGAAATATGGCTCGCATGAGTCAGAAAGTTTCAAAATCCTACAAGAACCCCAAAGATTGAGACTTACCCGTTCTAAATGAAACGTTGATCGGTGAAAATTGAAATTCTTGACACTGGGATAGCTTTCGTTACAATTTAATTGTAAATCAAATGAAGTGGAATGAGAGATTTTTAGAGAGAAGGAAGAAGATTTTAGAGAGAAGGAAGAGAAAAGAAAAGAGAAGAAGTTTTAGAAAGAAAAAGTGGTGTAAGAAAATGGCAAGAGGATTTAAAGTTTTAATTTAAATACTACCACTGAAGCCACTTATTCACTCGAGAAACATACAATTGTCTATTCCCTTCCACATGTCATTTTCGGGTGATGAGAACAACTTCAAAAAAGTCACTATCATATTTATACACATTTGTAGTTAGTTTTCTATAACGAAAATTTAATGGAATTAATACTTACTTAAAAGATCAACACAACATTAAATATTCATTCTGAAAAATATTTTACAAAACTGATAAAAACCTTTTGTTGCTTGATTGAAAATTATTTTAATTTTAAAATTAAATGATTAAATTCTTTCATTTTAAAAATTTTGTACTTATATCAAGTTAACAAATTTATTTATTATAAAGAAAATCTTGAGTGTAACATTAAAAAGAAAGAAAAGAAAAACATTTACATATTATTTTGTGCTTTTTTGTCTTTTAAATATTCAATTTTTTCAAAATTTCCGAGATTTTCTTAGGAAACTATTAGATATGATCAACTCATACCAAGATATAATGTAATTGGTTAACTTGTTTTTCCAACCTTAAATATATTTTTCCTACCATATTTATTTACTTTTGAACCATATTTGTTTATTTCTCTAAAGTAATTCATGCATTTAGTATTTCTCAGCAAAATTCTACTAGTAATTGGCTATTCCTAACATATGACAGGTATTCTAGAGAAAATATTAAACAGAAAGAAAGAATGGATTCATGATAAGGATGAAAAAGAAAGAAATGCTCTTCACTATGCAGCTTCCAAAGGATATCTAAATGGTGTTGAGTGTTTGCTTCAAAAGTGTGATACCTGCAATATGGAAACAGACAGATATGGCTTTTATCCTCTTCATCTGGCTTCTGCATGTGGACGTATTGAAGTAGTAAAGAAATTGCTTGAAAACTGTCCAAATCCCAGAGAAATAATTGATAAGAAAGGTCGAAATATTGTTCACATTGCAGCTATAATGGGAAAGTTTGATGTGGTAAGTTATGTCTTGCACGATGCAAATGGAGTTAAAGATATGATAAATGACAAGGATTACGATGGAAACACTCCTTTGCATTTGGCTGCCTCACATTACCGTCCAAAAATTGTGCAAGCCTTGACATGGGATACAAGTGTGGATCTCAATTGGCTTAACAACAACAACCAAACACCTATCGATGCTTTTGAACAATTTAAACAACAAAATAATCCACCTATCGTACAGGCAAGTATATAGAGTATTGTGTTTACTTAGGCTACTTGATTTTTTCTATTATTGTCTTGTTAAATTTGTAACATAGACTTGTATTTGTAGCGGCTAACATGGTGTCAACTAAAATCAGCTGGCGTACAAAATGCTGAAAGAGGGTCACACTCTATTCAGGTCCCTTGTTCCCCTTTCAAATCAAAAGCCAAAAACACAGAGTTTTTCAAATCAAAAGCCAAAAACACAAAGTTTTTCAAATCAAAAGCCAAAAACAATGAGTTTTATAAAGACAGAATCAACACTCTTATGCTTGTTTCAACCCTTATAACTACAGTAGCATTTACCGGAGGTTTTACTTTGCCTGGTGGAACTAACAGTAATCCTCCAGGACAAGGCATGGCTCTTATGCTGAATCACGTGTGGTTTAAACCATATATTTTATGCACCACAATATCTATGTATGGTGGCATTAGTGTCGTTATTATACTCATTTGGGCTCAATTGGGAGATGTAACTTTGGCACTTTTTGCCCTTAAAGTGGCAAGACCACTTTTAGGAATCACTCTTGCAACCCTATCAGTGGCTTTCTTGGCTGGTGTCCACCTTGCTATAAGCGATCTCAGTTGGTTGACAACTACTGTTCTGATTTTGTGTGTGGTCTTCATTATCCTGCTTTTGTTACTGTACACTCTTCTCTGGTTTCCCTCAGAATCAAGCAACGTAATAATGCGATACATTTCATTCTATCCTTTCCAGTTTCTCACATGGTTAACTGAAAAAGATTCAATTAAAGGTACGTAATTTCAAATACCCTATTGTAGTCTCTGCACCTTTGTGACTTCCTTTTCTTCTTTATCCTCTTTGAGATGGAACTTAACCTTTGTTTTCATGTCATCTTATTTGGAGTTGTGCATCTTATATAATTATATGCCACTACTCATCATTTTTATGTAATCTTTTTCTTTTTTTCTATAGTATACAAAAAGAGGGTTGAGTTTAGTTAAATTTGTTTGAGGATGCGTGGTAGATATATTTTAGTAAAACCAGAAAGCAAATGAAAGAGATTTAAGCCTTGCATTTTTATGCATAGCACTGTAATTTGATGCGGCAACTTGCTAGAAATTTTTTTCTTCTAGCTACCAGTGCATTTGTTGTCATTCTAGTGCTAAATCACAATATTTATGTAAAACTAAGAGGGATTGCAAGATTTTTGAGAACAACACTCTAATTTCCATACCTTAACCAAGTGTGTTCATAAAAGGTAATATGAGAACCATTGGCAGAACCTAAAAGACCTATTGGTCTAAAACAAGCGTATCTACAAAATTATTATCCAAACTCTTCTATCTTGATTAGAGGATAGATCAAGAGATATTAGTATTGGCAAAACTAAGTAATTAGTGAGAATCCAAGAAATATGAAGACCCTAACTTACCTAAGTGACTTGACAAAATTTAATAGGAGAAATATCATCATAACCCAAAGAATCTATCTATTCATCTAAATGAAAGGAACTGAGTGTGGAAATTTCAAATTTGCAATGACTGATTGTCTAGTGCCCCCACAATGAGATAAACCAAATTAAATTTATATTTCATAATGTAGTGTGACTTCTCTTAAAAAATGTACTTTCTCCATCTTGAAGTCATAATTAAACTTTTATATTTACATCCATAGAAGCATGAAAGCATGAATGAGAGATGAAGTTTCCTAAGTAAATGAATACATAAAACCACAATGCAACGACTACTTACTTGTTGTCTCTATTGTTTAATTGGTGAAGGCATATTTACATTACATGACTTTGATATTAAAGAACTGGAGGAACATGAATATGGAGGAAAGCAAACAGAAGAAACTGAAGAAACTGAAGAAGTTGATGAAGGGGAGAATGAGAAGGATGATAATGATGATGTAGAGGACGAAGATGATAATGATGATGTAGAGGACGAAGATGATAATGAAGACGAGGAGAAGGACACTCATGAATAGTAGTTTTTTTATACAATTCAAAATGTAGGATAAATGTACTTCCTATTTTAATTTGGTGACTACAAAGAAAAACAATCTCTAGTACCAAATGGGGAAAATGCTTTTTATATTGCAGTCTTAACTTTGTTTGGGGTGAATTCTGAAAACATGTCGATTGAAAAGTTAAAGGGAGTCATTCAAAGCATTCTATCCTTCTTATTGGATTTTGCTAGTCTCTTTATTTATGCAAATATAAGTTACAACAATAAGTAATTTTATTAGCATGTAAGAAATTCAATTTTAAGGTCAAATAATAGAAGAAATTATAGTGCATGCTTTTGTAATTTTGTTTAGTTAATTTTATGAGATCTATTATCCTTTAACAAAGTTTTATAATATTGTAAGAAAACGTTGAATTACCAAATAAATTTGACTGATGAATGCTAATTGATTATTTATGCATGCAATGCCACCAAATAATTGCTATGTGATACAAGGTGTACATTATTGACAATATAATCCATTGATCAAATATATTTGTTTAGGCGGTAAAACATCCACCGATTACGTCTTATAAATGATGCCTTGGAAGGTGAAAAAAATATATAGCATAGTAAAAAAATAGCAATACAAAATTATTTAAAACCCATGAAAAATTTTGAACTTGTTGCCTAGTCGTTTGTCCTTTGCCAACAATTATTTTCTTCCATTAAATAAGTTTTGATAAAAAAAAATTGAAGTGTTAAATTATGTTTATGCTAAGACAAGATCATTATGAAACATTTATTTTGAAATTTAACAAAATTGTTTATTGAAATATTGTTAATCGCAAATATTGTCTAAGATAACAGTTTATTGTTATTGTTTAGATATGATTAAATGTTCAATGCCAACAATAAACGTTATCCTTAATGCCATAATAAATTGTTTATTGTTTCGACTTTATGTACCTAATCTAATCATTAGATGAATAGTTATGTATTGTCTTTTTCTCTGTGTAGATCTTGCCAACGAAGTGTTTTGTTAAGTTTTGTGTTGTGATAATTAGTATAGGATTTTATTGATGTGATAGAATAAAAAAATTTATTTAATGGGTAGAAATTTAAGATTATCAAAATGTCCCTAGTTATTAAATTAATATAAAATAATAATTGTTAATGTTATATTTAATTGTAAAAATGTTTATAAAGAGTAAAAAATTAACATTAATTAATTTAAAAAATGTAAAAAAAGTTAGATATTTTTTTTTATTTACAAAATATAATTATAATTAATACAGATAATATAAATAATAAATATTTTAAATTTGCTAAATTATAAAAATATCATATAAAATAAAATAAAAACTATATTGTTTTGATATCAATAATATTTAATAATGTAACAAGTTCTTAATTGAGCACATTAATTAGGATAATTTGACGATGACTATAAAATAATGATCTGAGGTAACTACTATAATGTACTTAGAATCATGTGATTGCTAATTACTAATTTGCCACATTAATTAATTTCATTCAAATATTAATTTATTAATTCATGAAATATGGAAGACCAACCGTGTCACTTGATGGTCACAGCAAAAAAGACTTCAAAAAATTTAACTAATCCTAATTAAAAAAACCGTAGCCTAGTGCGGCTCCACCTCCTCCTTCCTATCCATGCACCAAAACCCAGTGCTCACTCTCCATTTGAGTGAGGCATTTCATCGAACATCATAACGGCACCTCTTTCCCCTTTAAACACCCAAAAAGAACACTCACACTCACATTCACTGTCTGTGGTTTTCCCTCCGTGTTCCTCTCCGACCCTCTTTTCTCCCCCTTCCACTCCTCCCTCCTCCACTTCACTTCTCTATCCTCCACCCTCTCCCACGCCAAAAACCTCGCATCCACCTTCCTCCACCTCCTCCAATCCCACCTCTCCCCAAACTCCTCTTAACCTTGCTTGCGAACTCTATGTCCACCTCCTCTTCCTCAAAAACTTCAACCCCTTCCACAACGCCCATCAGTCCTTATTTCACCTGAAAAACCAAAGAAACAAGTGAGATAGCCATCAAAACGAAGATCTCAAGCCATCAAAACAAAGATCTCTTGTATTGAAATTAAGTATGAAGCAGTGTATTCGATTACACCCAACCTCGAATACAAGGTGCTGAAGCAATTCTCAAGACCATGGAACCCAATCCCAGTATTGAAACTGAATATGCTGCAACACAAAACATGATAGAACCAAGTCCATAAACACGGAACCGAATACCGCCTCCACTTCTACATCTTCTATGCCCTGGAATAGATTATTGTTACTTGGAATCGAATAATTCAATTTGGCATGGGTTATTTCAAATAAAAGATGATGGCATTCGACCAAAAGACTGAGGGTAAGGATGACATTTCTCAATAAATCAGCTCAAATTCGAACATTTTAGGCTTTGTTCGTTTAGAGTGATTTGGGAGAGATGATTTGGGGAAGATGATTTGAATGGATTTGAGTGAATTTGAGGGTAATTTTTTTGTTGTTTTTTTGAGTGGATTTGTGGGTAATTGAGAATGGATTTGGAAGTAAAGTTTCTGAGAATTAGTATAGGATTTGATTGATGTGATAGATTTTAAAAATTAGTTTAATTGTTAGAAATTAAAGATTACTAAAATGCCCCTGGTTATAAAAGTAATATAAAATGTTATTTATAAATGTTATATTTAATTGTAAAAATATTTATAAAGAAAAAAAATTATGAATAATTTATAAAATTAATGTTTAAAAATTATAAAAATTAAATAATCAACTTATTTTTAATAAATTAGAAAATATAATATACCTATTAATTAAGATGTAGATTTTTTAAATTATAATATTAAAATAATTATAAAAAAACTGAAAAGCGTAACCGGTTACGCGTTTGCAACCTTCCCCTTCCTCACGCACTGCTTCTACACAGTCTACATCCTCCGATCCTTGGTGCACCTCCTCATCTCGCCCTCATGCATCCACTGCTCCATAATCCTCTTCAACTCGTCCTCCTTATTCATGCCCACAACTTCGACCGTCAACCATTAATATTCAATCACACCACTAACAACGACAAGCAGGGAACAACGATGAAGGCTGCTGGAACCGCGACTTCAACGCTTCAAACAAAACGCAAAAACCAACCCTGTAACCGAATAAATTTCTACGTAACCGAATACCCAAATACAACTTTTCTCTGTGTTCTGCGTAACCCACTGGAATCGAATATGCACTTCATAAATCCAATATATCTGGTTTTAGTATCTGGTATCTTGAAATGTTTTAAGGGCATAAAAGCCTTTTCCCATTAATTCATCGCAAATCTTCTCAGTTATGCGAGTGATTCAAAAACCCATCGCCTCATTTTGCTCCTCACAAATCGGCTGAAACGAACACGGTAATAGTTTAATTCCTCGCTCACAAATCTCTGTAAATAGTAAATTCAGTTGAAACGAACACAGCGTTAGTGAGATACCAAAAAAGCATCAATCTCGCAAATCATCTCAAATCCTTTCTCGCTAATCACTCGTAACGAACACGAATTATCGCCCTCTACCTTCCTCTTTCTCTTCTTTTTTTTCTTATTGGTTGGACTCTCTGTTTCAGTTTCAGTTTCCTTGTTGGCTTCTTTTGGAGGGTGTTCGGAAGATCGAAGCTTTCAGTGTTTGTCTCGCTTGGACAACCTGAGTGTGGGGGTAGCAGCATCCAAAAGAGATTTGAGAGAGTTTGAAGATGAAGGAACTTCGTTGATATTATTTTGTTGTTGGCCAATTTGGCTATAAGCTTAAGCTTCAGTTTCTTGTTTGATAGAACCATTTTCCAGCCCTGGTTAGGGCTGCAACTCCACTCTCAAACCCTCAATGCAGAAACTTGGCGAAACCGAATACACAACAATTGTGCAGGTGGAACTTAATATGCAACGAAGGAATCAAATACACCCCTTTTGCTTTTAGCTGCTAGGGACGGAACTGAATACCCCTCCCCGTAACCGAATAAGCCGCTTCAGATCTTCATCTTCTTCAACGAATTTTCATCTTCATCCATCAACCGTAACACCAACCATACACCGACACTGACCCTTCTTCGTCTTCGTCTTCCGCTCCAACGACATGCCTCCAACATGCAACAACAAATTGGAATCGATTATCTTCATTTTGGAATCGAATCCCTTTTGTCTTTTGTCTTATTTTTAGTTGGTATTTTACAAAGCACTAAAGGCATATACAAGATTACTTTAAATCGTTACAAATCGTCACATTATACAAAGATAATGAAAACTCATCTCACAAATCACCTTAATTATATAGTACACGTCAAACAAAGTTCTCATCGCATTTCTATTTAAATAGTGACACCCACTGAAGTGAATATACCTAAGAGAAACAATGACATGGGATAAGTACAATAAATAGGCTTTAGTGACCCCATCTTTTGGTTGTTGTAAAGTGATTTTTTTTATTATAACAAAATAATTTTGGTTGTTGAAACAGAAAATAAAAGTTGAACAGGAAGTAGTTGTAATAAGAATTGAAAGGTTATTAGAATAATAACCATGTCTAATATTAAAAAAAAAGTGGGTAAAGATATATCATGGTACTGAAGTAATAAAAAGAAATACAAGTATATGTGTAGTCAGCAATCAAAATAAAAAATAAAAGAGGGTTTAAGTTTCAAAACAAAATATAAATTTTAAAATGTCTCCGATGTGATATAGAATTTCTTAGATTTGAATTATAGAAATCTAGCTATCATGATAGCACTGTACGCGGCATGTCCTAGTCAGATAATTTTCAGTCAAATAGGCTATAGGCTGGGCAGTGACGAAATCTCAACGAGAAAAGAAATGCAACGATTTTCGAAATACGATGCATGAAATTAGTGTTGTCAAAAGATACTACCTGATCGGGTTTATGATGGCTTGGTAAAAAATAATCAATCTAATCCGATTAGTAAGTTAAAAAAATTTAAATTTAGTCTGATCATCGTAAAGTGTAGGTCAATTCACTGTTTCATTGGACTACAAATTTTTTAAAATGAAAAGAATTATATTGAATTTAAATAATTTTACTCTAAAATAATATTAAATTATAAAGACAATCAAAATGAAAAAGTTAACATATATATCTTAAATGTATTAAAAA